GACTTTGCTGTTCTTCCCAATCAGAGGTGACATTTATTTCTCCACTCCTTGGAATCTGGGCTGTGCTTGTGACTTGATTTGGCCATTAGAATAAAGTACATGGGATGTTATGCAATTTCTGAGGCTAGGCCTTAACAGATAGCATCTTCTGCATTTACCGTCTTAGAAGGGTGCCCTGAGACCACCAGGGAAACTGGTCTAGCCTACTGGTGGATTAGAATTGGAAAATAGCCATGGCAGCCAGCCCTCAGCCAGAACCAACTGCCAGACCCGTGAGTGAGGCCATCTTAGACCTCCCGGTCCAGGGGACCTTCCAGCTGATGTCAAATAAAACCAGCAGACTAATCCATTCAGCCATCCACGGAATTATGAGAAACAATACATTATTACTGTTTTAAGCCATGAATTTTGGAGAGTGGTTTGTTACACAACCATAGGTAACTAAAACAACCTCTGTGCTCCTGTTGTCAGTAAATAGCTTCCTTGTCTACCTGGTTGTTTATGCCAGTTCCTTCTCCCTCACATCTCACATTTAATCCTTCCTAAATACATATAAAATCTCCCTAGTTTTCACTTTCCCCTACTGCTAGGATATGAGTTCTGTTCCTCTTCATCTCTCACCTGGATTATCACAGCAATCTCTAATGGTGCTCCCTATTTATTGAGTGCTATCTCCCTCCTCCCTACCTTTCCCATTCAATTTGTCATACCCACCATGATCAGAGCATTCTTTGCTATAGGCAGATGTAACCATGTTTCTCCACTGCTTAAAGCCTTTTGCTTGCAAGGTAAATCCCCAAGTCTTTAACATGATTTATGAGGCCTTAAGATCATCTGGCCCCTGCCTCTTAGTCCTGTCTTCCACCAAGCCTCTCATTGAACCCTGTGTTTCTAGAGCTGCTTCACAGGTTCTGGTGACCTTCTGGCACCTGTGTAAGCTCCCTCATTGTATGAGGCAACCTCTGAAGGGGTCGGATGAAAACACTTAACCTGTCAACGCACCTAAGTTCCTAGGCCGGTCATGAGAGACTCACACTGGGGTGTGGATTCGAACCTTGTAAAGATCTGAACATTCCAAATGATATCCACCCTTATGATACTACCTTTTCTAACTGATTCTCATTCAGTAAAAAGCATCAATTTTATATTTCATATAAAAACCATGAGCTGGAGAAAGCTGATTACTCTGGCAATTAGAAAAGATTTAAGGAAATTTTTTTTTGTAGGACTCTTTACCACAGTGGTGTTCACTGAGCAACCATAATTCTGGGGTCGAATAGAAAGAGTCCTAGATTTGGAATCAGATAGACTTGGTATCTGGTTCTGCCATTTACCAGATATATACCCTTGGCAAGTCACTCGAATTTTCTGAATTCTGTTTCCTCATTTATAAAAAGGGGATGACAATTCATACATTGCATGATTGTATTGAGGATTAAATGAGATAAAGATATGAATGAACCCATCATATGTTATGGCCTTAATGGTTATAGTTATATTTTTTAAAGATTTTATTTGTTTATTTGAGAGAGAGTGCATGAGCGGGGGAGGGGGGAGGGGCAAGGGGACAAACAGAGCCAGGACCCTGAGACCATGACCTGAGCCAAAGCCAGACGCTTAACTGACTGAGCCACCTGGGATCCCTTAATGATTATAGTTATTAATCAATATGATCCAAGGTAAAAAGTAGACTTTTGGGGTAGAATAAGTCTTTCTTCCTGTTTTTATTTGGGCATTTAGATCTGAAAGTGAAGACAGTTAAATACAATTTGATTTGTTTTGTTCTTCTCTCTGGTGGTAACCTGTTAGTTAATAGGGAGATAGCTATTGGGGGACATAACTGATACAGCTCAAGTGTCAGAAGTGGCCTCTCTGGGGCGCCTGGGTGGCTCAGTCGTTGGGCGTCTGCCTTAGGCTCAGGTCATGATCCCAGGGTCCTGGGATGGAGCCCTGCCTCGGGCTCCCTGCTCAGCAGGAGGCCTGCTTCTCCCTCTCCCCACTCCCCCTGCTTGTGTTCCCTCTCTCGCTATGTCTCTCTCTGTCAAATAAATAAATAAAATCTTAAAAAAAAAAAAAAAGAAGTGGCCTTTCTGCCCCCTTAAGATCTAAATGCAATGGGCTTGAACTTCCATTTTCACATTTTACAATCCTTATAAGTTCTAAGCCTTCCTGGAAATTTTTGTAAATTCTGTGAGGGCTGTGCTCTCATAGTCTCTGCCCCTAGCCTCCATTTTCAACTCAGAAAAACAAAGCCCATTGCACAATTGCCCTACTCACTCATCCTCAGTACTCCCCTCAGACAGCATTCCTGAGTTTAACAGCCTTTACTGAGGTCTCAAGAGTCACAGAAAGTGGTCACATCGTACACGTGACAACGTATCCCATTTTATGCATCCTAGAGCTTAAACACTCTTTTGTCCACCTGCTATGGGAGAGTTTCTTCTGACCTTTTACCCATGTAGCACCTACCCTTACACTGATTTTCCTACTCATCTTCTGCCTCTCCCTCCTACTTTGCCAAGTGAATTCTAAATTCTCCTCCCTTTTCTATCCAGAGCAATACAGTGTTCCTCCTTCTCTTCCCATCCTTATATATTCACACGCTTCAAGGCCCTGAGTAGGACAAAAGGGCCTTCTGTACATTAGGGTCTATCCTTCTTAGAAGGAGCTTGTGGCTAAAAATAGCATTTGTTTTTCTGTTATAATAACCACAGTGTTTCCTGTTTATTGAGTGCTTACTATGTGCCTGACACTGTATCAAGTGCTTTTCAGTAGCTATCTCATTTTCTTATTTGGTCTTCATAATGACCCTGGGAGGTAGCTCTCATTATTGATATTTCTACAAATGAGCTTGATGTGTATGTGTGTGTATTGAAAAAATTATGAAACTTGCATAGGATCACACAGCAAGCAACTGGTGGAACAAGGATTGAAAACCAGATCTAGCTGGCCCCAATTTTGTGCTCTTTCCATTTTACTACATGGCCTTCCGGAGAAGGAGAAAGAGAAAGTAATCAGAAGACCTGAGGCTACATAAACACAACACCATCTGTTCTCATGTTGTTTCACAACTTTAAAAGGACGGTTTTGTATGTTATCTCATTATTCCTGTGAAGAATGAATAGTCGGGGCGCCTGGGTGGCTCAGTCGTTAAGCGTCTGCCTTCGGCTCAGGTCATGATCCCAGGGTCCTGGGATCGAGCCCCGCATCGGGCTCCCTGCTTTGCGGGAAGCCTGCTGCTCCCTCTCCCACTCCCCCTGCTTGTGTTCCCTCTCTCACTGTGTCTCTCTCTGTCAAATAAATAAATAAGATCTTAAAAAAAAAAAGAATAAATAGTCATTATCATTACACCCATTTTGACATCAGTAAACCAGGGCTTGTGGGAGACAGGGAGTGGGAGAACAGGTAGTATAGGATATTTGATTTTGGGATCACAAAGGCACTAGTTTGGGGTTAGTAAGAAGTTCAGGGTGTGACCATGGGAGCCAGTGGCCAAAGTGATGTGAAGAGGAGACCAAGGACTGAGGGATCAGGAAACCACACAGCTACTGAAGTCAGGATGGCAGGACAGGGGCTAATGAGGCACTGCTGATTCCACCGCCTAGTTTTATGGCGTGTGGGGGGTGGGAAAGTGAGAAGCCTTCTTGCAGAGGGACTACAAGAGGAGTCCTGGAAGAGGGTCAAGTCTCAACAAGAAAAGAAGTAACCTGAAATCTCTCTGCAGAAGCAGAGGATGTAGGAGAGTTTATTGATAAAGGAACAGGGTTCTATAGGGTACAGTGGAAAGGTCGGCCAGGGAGGTGGGCAGTCAGAAGGTGAGTGAAGGGGAGAGGGATGGAGAAGCTCAGAAATGTATAAGGATGAGTCTGAGAGAGAAGTTAGACAATCAGAGGGACTGTCAATTGGGCAGTTCCCCAGCTTGGGGAGACAAATTGCAGATAGGGTCATAATGGAACTTGGGGGAAAATGGTTTTGGTATCTGACTCAGACCTCTAAGATTTGAAATGGAGGAAGAGTGTGGGGAAGGATGATGATTCTAAATCAAAGCTCGCAACTACCCCTATGACCTCAGGAAGACTTAAAGTGAGGTCCGTGTCAGGATGGGAGGTCAAATTGCCTCCTGTACCTGCCTCCTCTGACAGAATTGGGACTTCCTAATGACTGGCAATAACAATTTCTTACTCCAACCTACTGCTAATAATGGGGAGCCATTGAAAGTTTTTATTTTGTTTTAATAAGGTTGATGGTAGCATGGTGACATTTAGGACAATCACTCAGGCTGCTGGTGTACAGGATGAATTGAAGAGTATAGGTGGGGAGATCTATTAGGAGCCTGTTACATTAGTCCAGGCAAGAAGTGATGAGGTCTGAAACAGGGTGAGAGCCGTGGAGATGGAGAGGAAGGGCAGCGATAGGACATGATAAGGAGGTGTTATTACCAGACTCATGGGATGTGGGGCATGAAGGAGTGCACAGAGTAAACACAATGCCCAGGTTTCTGACTTAGTTTCCTCTTGTAGTCAGCGGTCCAGGTTCTGCCTTTCTTCCTGGGCTTTTGTGAACATGAAGCAATATGACAGGAGAGTGTTTTGGAAATGGCAAAGCTGGGTACCCATCATCATCTACATTATTATCAAAGCTCTCTGATCACCATAGTAAGTTCAGTCTGTGGAATGAGATGTGACAATTAAGATAAATCACGGTAGTCACCCAGATATCAGCGAACTCAGGGTGGAGGGAGGGCAGGGGCCCAAGATACAACGAATTTCTATACCTGCCGGCAGCTGGAGCCCGGGGCGGAGAGAACACAGACTCCGCCCCTGGGCGGGGCGTGGGTGGGGCCTGGACGCGGCAGTAGCCAGAGCCTCAGCCCTAAGTAGCCGAGGTGGGCACCAGACCCGACCCGCACCGACTCGCACCGCGGTGCTCCGCGAACCCGGCTGCGTCTTCTGCCTCGTGCCGCCAGGTCCGCCGTCCCGCAGCTTTGGCAGGAGCAAGCCGCTAGTAACGCACCCGGAGTCCCAGGTAAGGGGCGCGGCCCGGGCACCCCGCCTGGAGAGAATCTGGGACCCACCCCGGCTCGGGGCTCTGGCGACAGCGAGCGGGCGCTGAGGAGTGCGGGTAGCGGGAGGCGACACCGAGAATAAGGGGCTGGGAGAGGCCGCTGAGGAGGGGGCACCATGACCGGGAGGGAGGCGCATAGCTGAGGGGGTCTATCAGACCGCGAGGGCGGCGAGGGTTACTCCGAGGGCAGGGGGCGGCGGGAGGTGGGAAAGCAAAAGTGGCCACTGGAGCGCAGTAGGGGCTCGCTGGGGAGAAACACGGGGCGTTGGGGGCGGGGAGATGTAAGGAGGGCCTGAGAGGGGCAGTGCGGGAAGGGGGTGCCGGGCAGCTGAGGGGCGTGAAGCGGGCGCTGAACGAGGGCACTGAGGACAGCGAGGGCAAGGGGGCTGGCGTGGAGGGCAGTACACGGGGTCCGCAGGGGTCGTGGTGAACTGGAGAGCAGTGAGGTGATGAGGAAAAGGGGCGCCGGGCAGAGGGGGTTGTTGGTCGGGGAGAGGGGAAGAGGGTGAGGGAATGTGAATGGAGAGCTGGGAGCGAAAAGGATGCGGAGCCCGAGGCCAGCTTGGCGCCGGCACAGGGGATAACCGTGAGTCGGGGCTGGGGGGTGGGGCTCGGAGGTGGGAAGCCTGCAAGAATGGGAAGGTGGGAGGCAAGGCTGGGTCTACCCAGACTGCAGAGGAAGGGGGCGGGGAGCTGGTGGAGGGAGAGGGCAGTGGCCTTGGATATGGGCAGTGGGCGCCTGAGTTCTGCTAGGGGTGGGGGGCGGAAAGGCACTGGAATAGAGCCGGGGTCCGGCGGTTGGGGGTGGAGGAACTGTCTGGGAGCTTGGAGAGATTAGGGTAGTGGGTGTGCTGGGTTAGGTTGGGGAGGAAGCCAGGTATAGGTTGTGTGAGGGTGGAAAGACAATGGGGCCCGTATGGAGTCCATGGACACCCAGGTGCTAAACGTGTCTTAGCTACTCAGAAGGCTGAGGAGAGGGCGCAGGCACTGAACTCTGATACACCACCACCTGGGATTACAGACAAGAAGAGAATTTTGGACAGAAATAGTCATCCACTGGCCGCCTCTGTTCATTAGTCTAAATGTATGAAGGATTTTAGGGAGGGCAGGGTGGCAGCCTCTGGAAGCTAATAAAGATGTGGAGGGGAGTGGGAGAAAGACAGGGCCCTCCATCCCAACTTCCTGGAATTCAGATGGAAAGGGGTTGGGGACAGTAAAAGGAGTGTGTGTTTACAGGTGGATGCCCACCTGTTCTGTGCATAAAAACGGAGAAAGACCATGGAATACCATGAAAAGCCCTGGCTATGGTAGTGGGAAGTCCTGGCACTGTGTTAGCCAGAGAAGACATTCTGCCAGAAAGATGATGGGTAAGGGAAGGCTTTCTGGTCATGAAGGATTTAGCCAGCAGTGGAGAACAGTTGTGTTCCTGTCAGAGGAAACACTATGGGAAAAGGCAAAACTCTAAAATGATCTCCAGCCCAATAAATAAATCTCCAGTTTCATAAGGAATATGATGTGAAGAGAGATACCAATAACCTATTGAGGATGTTTTAAAAGATTTTCCCCCTGGGCGCCTGGGTGGCTCAGTTGGTTGAGCGACTGCCTTCGGCTCAGGTCATGATCCTGGAGTCCCGGGATCAAGTCCCACATCGGGCTCCCTGCTCAGCAGGGAGTCTTCTTCTCCCTCTGACCCTCTTCCCTCTCATGCTCTCTATCTCTCATTCTCTCTCTCTCAAATAAATAAATAAAATCTTAAAAAAAAAAAAAAAAGATTTTCCCCCTAAGCTCAGAACTCCTTACGGTTCCTCTCCCATCTTCCCAGAGTACAGCACAGGGTGTGGTGCACAATAGATGCTCAGTGAATGTTGATTCAGTGAACAATTGACCTGTGCTGGTGCTCCTGCCTCCAATTCACTCATCCCCCCACCCCATTGTTGTAAGAAGCAAATATGGTAAGATGGGTGAAAAGAGCTTCATAAACTATAAAGCAGTGTACAAAAGAGAGAGGCCACTAATATTATGCAGGTGTGCCTACACTCTGTGTAAGACAGAATGCGTTGAAAGCACTTAGTAGAGTTCCTGGCATTTAGTAGGTGTGCAATAAATGGTAGCTATTATGATACAGTTTCTGGGGCTCTAAGAGACCTGGGGAAATAGGAGGTGGGCTGGGCTAGGCTGGCTGTGCTGGGTTGGGGAATGTCTAAAGAAAGGTTGAATTAAAAATAGAGTATGGCTTTAGGGAGCAGTTTGCGTATAATAGGGTGAGGTCCACATTTGCCCAACTCCCTTCCTATCCTCACTAAATAAATGTTCCCAATGAGAAGATGGAGTACATTTACTGAGCACCTGCTACATGTCATATATTATCTAGATGCTTTACCAACATTGACTATAATTTTCCCAACAATGCTTGTTTTATTTTTTATTTTTTTTATTTTTTTAAGATTTTATTTATTTATTTATTTATTTGAGAGAGAGAGAGAATGGGAGATAGAAAGCACGAGAGGGAAGAGGGTCAGAGGGAGAAGCAGACTCCCTGCTGAGCAGGAAGCCCGATGCGGGACTTGATCCCGGGACTCCAGGATCATGACCTGAGCCGAAGGCAGTCGCTTAACCAACTGAGCCACCCAGGCGCCCCCAACAATGCTTGTTTTACAAATGAGGAAACTGTGCCTTAGTCATGTAAAATTTCTTGGTCGAGGTCTCACAGCTAATAAATGACAGACCTGGAAATTGAATCTAGTTTGTTTGATTTGGAACCCCAAGCTATTTCTACTACCTAGGATGACTTGGTAGAAGAAAACATGAAGCAGACAGACAAAAAATTTTTAAGGGGTTTATAAGACACTCTCCCGCATATTGGTTTTTAATTCTTACAACAGTTTGCCAGGAAGTCTTTTGTTAACCATTTTATAGATGAGAAAACTGATCTGCCTGAGGTTTCATGACTGCTGAGAGAGCCAGGGGCTCAACCTAGGTCTCTAGGACTCAATCTTGTGCTATTTCTATCAAGAGAAGTTCAGGGCGCCTGGGTGGTTCAGTTGGTTAAGTGTCTGCCTTTGGCCCAAGTGATGATTCTGGGGTCCTGGGATTGAGTCCAGCGTTGTGCTCCCTGCCTAGCCTGCTTCTCTCTCTGTCCCTCCCCCCTGCTCCCCCACGGCCGCCGACTTGTGCTCCCTCTCGCCCTCTCTCAAATAAATAAATAAAATCATAAAAAAAGAGAGAAGTTCATTCATTCACTTGTTTACTTCATGTAATGAGTTGATCTCTTACTAGATTTTAGGGCTCTCTCCTACTCTCTCCCCTCTTTCCTAGCTGAAATTAGCTTCTCCTTAGGTACTTATTTCTTCTGCCTATCAGACCGAAAGCCTTATTTGTTTTTCATACCAATACTCTCAGGGGCCATTTTCTTCTTTCCCCCAGCTTGGGACCAGAGATGACTTCCCAGATGGTCCCTGGGCTTTCATCTTTATGGCTTGTCACGGAGACAGTGAGCTACCCAGCTCTATCATTTATGTGGCTGTCACAAAAGGGAAGATCTGATCGATGCTTATCTTACAAATGCGTTCTGCACTCACCACCGTGCAGTGACCTGTCTGCTCATACCTGCCTCAGGCAGCTGCCTGCTGGGATGCTTTTTGCCTCTCTTCCAAATGTCTGTGTAGCCCCTGCCACCTTCCTGAAGATTCCCTTAGAGGCTTCCATCTGAATGTGCCTTTCAACGGAACCTCCACCTCTCCCCATTCGCACACCACCTACTGGCAAAGCTACGCTGTGTGCACATAAACACATGTTGACAGTACAGTATGGCAAGTTTTAGAAAAGAGCTGTACAGGGTGCTGGAGATGCTTCTTTACTCACCCTAAAAATGTTGAAGTTTTAAATTTCCCTAAGCCTAATCCAGTCTGGGAGTCATTAAATAATAGAAGGTCTAGTCATGATACTCCGGCTGACTTGCTATATGACCTTGGACAAATCACTTCTCTTTATGGGGCCTCAATTTTTTTTTTTTTAACCTGTGAAATGAAGGGAAGTGGATCAGATTAGGAACTGAAACTAGTTTCTACTCTTGCCTCACCCTCTGTGGCAGAACTAGCTCATAAGGGCAGGCACTTTCCCCGCAGATTGTCCATGAGGCCACATGCGTTTTTCTCAACACAGTGTATGAAGCACATTCGTATGCATTCTGTTACTTAAAATCCACAGCAGCTTTCGGAGGTAGGTAATATCATCACATCATAGATGAGAACATTGAGATTCAAAGTTTAAATGACTTGCCCAAGTTCATACATTGAATTATGAGAAAGCTGGGACCAGGAACCAGGCTTTTTGTTATGGTGAAGCTACCACACTCCCAAATCCGTTCTTATTCCAAAAATCTAAGAGTGTAAACAGCTGCATCAGAAAAAAATGAAGACTAATAATGTGACATTTACATCAGTGGTCTGGCACATGGCAAATGCTCAATAAATGTTTATTGAAAGGAGTGACGTGCCCTAAAGATTTGCTACAGGTCCAGTGTTGACAGAGTGTAAGGATGGATAAAACTCAGATCCAGAAGAGGAGGCAGACAGCTAATTGTAAAACAAGCTCCAATAATGTAGTCCAGATTAGGGAGAAAGCAGTTGAACAAGATTTGACTACAGAAGTGAATTAGAGGGGCCAGTGAAATAATATTTATTGCGTACCTCTCATGGGCCAAGAAACCATAGTAGGTTAATTACATATGGCAACTGCTCATTCTATTTGTATCCCAGCTCCGTGAAGTAGGAGGTATTTTTCTCTATTTTAAAGTAAAAATGCTGTGACTTAGAGAGGTGATATGACTTGCCCAAAAATTCAGCTGAGGACTAGAACAGGGATTTTGAACTTTCCTATAATGAAAGAGACTAGGTCTAGTCTCAACTGTTGGCTTTGAGACTTGAGCAAATCCTTAATTTCTGGTCCTCAGTTTCTTTCTT